TTACTCTTAAAATAAAGTAATGTCTTATTATTTAATATAATTCCAATAGATTGTATTTACAAGTAGAATACGTCCAATCTGATTGGAACGCCGGGTATACTACTCCAACAGTAGGTTGATATTGCTACTTGAGAGACACTCAGACTAAGTCACCCTAGGATGACGTTGTAAGTTGAGGTTGCGTCCACAACCATGACTCTGATCAATATTTATGTCTTTAAAGGTAACTGCCATAGTAGAACTGTTAAGCATAGCTCACCAGGCTTAACCTTACCTTCATTAAATTCATAGACGGTTGTATCAATCAGCTCCACTTTTTCCTTCATGCCCATTCGCTCCAAACAATGGAAGAAGATAACATCGACCGGGAAGCCCGTGTCTACCATGACCCTTCGTAGTGCGGGACCAAAACACCCAGAACATCTTCTGGCCCAAAGCTTAGAGTAGCTTCGGGCTATTCTTTTTGGACACCTGCAACCTCCTTCCATGTGTTGCTACAAATTTCCTGCTTCGGGCAATCTTTAGTTATCACTTGAACTTCTTTGTCCTTTGATGCTTTTGTTGAAGCTTTCATTTTCATGGTTTCTTTTGTATCTTTCGAACTTTCTTCTGAATCTTTGGGTTGTGATAATCATCCCCTTATAGCCAGTAAATGTCTGAGATTCTCCATAGACAGTGCCAATTATGCCTCGAAAAGTCATCGTCCTTGAGATTCGATGACCTGCAATACACCGGAAGGGGATCCCAACGAAAAACTCTCCCACGCTCAAGTCATAACTCGCTCAAACTGTATAAGTAAAAGTATGTAAATAAAGGCATAAAATGTGATAATGGATGAAAAGAAACCTATTGGCCTTATATATGGCAGATACCTTGGGGCCGAAGAGAGTTCTTGTTAGGGAATAGATCTAACTAGATCCTACTTATATAACTTACCATGTCTCTATCTAGGCAAGAGTCCTTGGGCGAATGATTTTTTTCCTTCCTACTGGGATTCTTTCCCCCACCCTTTACTGTAGCTCATGGGTCCTTAGGTCGAGACTCCGACCTCTTGACTTGTCTGTTATGGCCTTTTCGAGGACGTACCTGACCTTGCCTTGAGGTTTAGCCCGACCTTATCCTTAGGTCTAACCTGTCTTCAGACCACCCGACCTCGATACCTCGAGGTCGGTTACTTTGTCGGGCTCAGGATCTTCAGGTCGGGTCTTTTCTTGTAGCTCAATACCTTAAGCCCATATACGAACTACTTACATATGTATATACGAGAGCCCTTCGAGCCCGGCCTAACACTTGCATCGTCTTATTGAGCTATATATGAGTGTTATATCAACGAACTCTTGGAAAGTTCCAACCAAACACGAGAAGACTGTTGTAAATTGTGGAAAATTTGAGTTTGGTTGTGAATTAGGAGACAATGAACATTACTTGAGGCTATCACGTCTGAGCTAAAGCCACCTGCCAGTCATCCAAAGCCATGTTTTTTTATATGAGAATATCCACATGGTCCTTGCCTCAATGCTCGCCAAGTTGTAGACTGTTGAAGGGTTTTTTAAGCCGATAAATAGCTAACTTTAGAAGAGACTACTGAGGAGTACTTGAAGGATCTCGTCGACAGAAACCGTGTAAACCTTTCTTTTCGTCTTGAATTCAAATATTCTCTGAAATCACCTCTTCTATATGTAAACTTTTTCTTTTCATCTTGCATCATACTTTATACAACAACAACAACAACAACATACCCAGTATATTCCCAACTGGTTGGGGTCTGGGGGGTCAGTTGTACGCAGATCTTACCTTTGTAATTATACAAGGAGGTTGTTTCCGTAGCAACCCAAGGTGCATTGCGTCGTTTGATATATTTATTTTTTTTTTAAAAAAACTTTACTAATAGAAGAAGCACTTACATTGAGGTTAAAAAGGGAGAACATTGGAACTTACAAGAATTAAAAA